TCAGGAGGAAGGAGTGAGATTGAGGAAATAACCTAAGTTTAGTTAAAATGTAACTTGTAGTACCTGAGTCGCATAACTAATTTGTAGAGTTTTTACCCTCTACTATTTCCGAATTTAATAGCATATGTTCAGCCATTAATAGCATAACATTCACATCAGTTGTCGTGGCCGTTTGAGTTTGTTTTCCCTTTTCTTCTCTCTTCTTTTCCTTTTGTTGACTTCGACATTTAGCGATTATATTGTTGTCACTTGTTTTTCCTCTCTTTACACAATAGCTGCAATTCTTTTTCTCACCTCTAGGTATACTTAGTACCTTTTCCTCTTCTTTTCCTTCTGACTTCTCAGCAGCCCTTCTGATAAAGTAGTCTCTGACATCCACATAGCGAATAGTTTTTCGTGCTAATAACATGTCACATATATCAGGATGTAGGTTGTTTATAGATAATATGAATACTGTTCCTATCACAGACTCAGATTGGGTCTACGTCCGTATTATTGGTATATCGTTAGACTAATTGATTTCAAGTGGTTTCAAACTTGGTTGTATAGTAAGGGATTAATTATCTAGAGATGAGTTTGATCTTCTAGATAGCTTCAAGTAAGATCATATTAGTTGCAGGAGTTTCTTTGCTAAACCTATCTTTAATGGCTTGCCAAACATCTTTGGAGTTTACATTAAGAGAGATGTCAGCATGGAAGGTAGTGTCAATGGCTTGGTATAGGAAGAACTTTACTCTTTTGTCTTTCCTTGTACATTTCTTGATTTGTGTGGTGTAAGTTACTACACTACTTTCGGAAGGAGGTTCAGGTTTTACAGATTTGCCTGATACTATATCCCATAAATCTAGGACCTTGAAAACTATCTCTCAAGTGTCAGCCCAGGTTTAATAGTTTTCTTTACCATAGAGTTTGTAATAATCCTTGACAGAAATGCTTAAGCCAGATTTTATGTAGTTTTTGAATGACATTGTGATGTAGACTGTTTAGTTCTTTTGTCTTATGTTAGGAAGTCATTCGTATCGATTGATATCTTTGAGATAATCTAGCACATAACCTCAGATATTTTCGTAGTAATGTTTGCAGCATATAG